TTTCAGTTTTCAGCATCTACTGAAATGATCATATGGTTTTTGTTCTTGGTTCTTGTTGATATGATGTATCACATTTATTGATTTGTTGAAACGTCCTTGAATCCCTGGGATGAGTGCCACTTGATCACAGTGAATGGTCTTTTTAATGTGCTGTTGAATTCGGTTTGCTAGTATTTTGTTGAGGATGTTTGCATCTGTGGTCATCAGTCATTTTGGCCTGTAGTTTTCTTTTTTTGTTGTTTCTTTGTCTGGTTGTGGTATGAGGGTAATGTTGACCTTGACCTTGTGGAATGAGTTTGAAAGTATTCCCTCTTCTTTAATTTTTTTGAAGAGTGTGAGTAGAATTGGTATTAGTTCTTCTTTAAATGTTAGGTAGAATTCAGAATTGAAGCCATCAGGTCTTGGGCTTTTCTTTCATGGGAGCTCCCCCTCCTTTTTTTTTTTTTTTTTTTTTTTTTTTTTTTTTACTATTTCTTTAATTTTAATTTTAATTTTTTTTTAGAGACAGGGTCTAGCTCTGTTGACCAGGTTGGGGTGCAGTAGTGTAGTCATATCTCTGTAATCTCAAACTCCCGGGCTAAAGTGATCCTCCTGTCTCAAGCCTCCCAAATAGTTGGGACCACAGGTGCACTCCACCATGACCAGTTAATTTTTTAAACATTTTCTATAGAGATGGGGTGTCTCAATGTTGCGCACACTGGTCTCAAACTCAGGCCTCAAGTGATCCTCCTGTCTTGGCCTCCGAAAGTGCTGGGATTACAGGCTGGCTGAGCCTCCATGCCCAGCCTGATGGGAGCCTTTTTATTATACCTTTGAGCTTGTGTTTCATTATTGGTTTGTTGAGGTTTTGTATTTCTTCATGATTAAATCTTGATAGGTTTTATGTGTCCAGAAATTTATCCATTTCTTCTAGGTTTTCAAATTCGTTGGCATATAGTTGCTCATGATAGTCTTTAAATGATTCTGTACATTTCTGTGGTCTCAGTTATATCTCCTTTTTAATTTCTGATTTTATTTATTTGAGTCTTCTCTCTTTTTTTCTTAATTTTTCTAGCTAAAGGTTTGTCAGTTTTATCAAAAAAACAACTTTTCATTTTGTTAATCTTCTGTATTTTTTTTTAGTCTCAGTTTCACTTATTTCTGCTCTGATGTTTGTTGTTTTCTTTCCTTCTACTAATTTTGGGTTTGATTTGTTTTTACTTTTCCAATTCCTTAAGTTTATCATTAGGTTGTTTTTTTTTGAGGTATTTCTATTTTTTTCAATATAGGAGTTTATTGCTATAAACTTCTCTCCTAGGACTGCTTCCCATAGATTTTGGGGTGTTGTATTTCTGTTTTCATTTGTTTCAAGAAAATTTTAAATTTCCTTCTTAATTTCTTCATTGACCCGTTGTTCATTCTGGGTCACATTGTTTAATTTCCATGTGTTTGTGTATTTTCTGAGTTTCCTCTTGTTATTGGTTTCCAGTTTTATTCCCTTTTGGTCAAAAAAGATAACTTGACATGATTTTTGTTTTTTTTTTTAATCTGTTCAAACTTGTTTTATGGCCTAAGATGATCTGTTCTGAAGAATGGTTCATGCACTGAAGAAAAGAATGTGTATCCTTCAACAAGCAGTTAGGTGAAGTATTCTGTAACTATCAGGCCTATTTGGTCTAGTGTGTGTGGTTTAACTATGATGTTGTTGATTTTCTGTCTGGATAATCTGTCCAGTATGGAGAGTATTGCGTTGATGTCCCCTGCTGTTATTGTATTATAGTCTGTCTTTCCCTTTAGATCTATTAATGTTTGCTTTATATACTTTCGAGCTCTGGTTTTGGGTACATAGATATTTATAAATTTTTATATCCCCATGCTAAATTGACCCCTTTGTTATTATATAGTGAGCTTTGTCTCTTTTTACAGTCTTTGTTTTGTAGTCTGTTTTGTCCAATGTAAGTATAGTTAGTTCTGCTCTTTATTTTCCAGTTGCATGGAGTATCTTTTCTACTCCTTCTTTTTCTTTCTTTATGCATTAGGCACTCTGTACTTTTTTATTGGAGAATTGAGTGCATTTGCATTCAGCATTATTATACATAGGTGAGGTCTTAGTACTGCCATTTCATTTCTTGTTTTTGGTTGTTTTCTAACTCCTCTCACCCGTTTTTTATTTCTTCCTAACTTCTTTTGTAGTTAAATGCTTTTCTCTGGCAGTATGTTCTGATTTGTTGCATTTTATTTTTAGTGAATCCGTTATAGATGTTTGCTGTGGTTATCCTTTGTAGCTTACAAAAAACAGATATAACCAGTTATTTTAAAGATCTAACAACTTATCACAAAGGAAAAAAATAGAAACAAAGAAAAGATGAAAAAAAAAACCCTCTACACTTTAACCTCATTGCACCCACATTTCGACTTTGTATTGTCTCAATTTACATATTTTTCTATTGCCTATATCTTAACAGGTTGCTGTAGGTATTATTGCTTTTGATAGATTTGTCTTTTGTGCTTCATGCCAGAGTTATGTGCGGAGTGCACACCACAATTACAGGGTTAGAGTATTCTGGGTTTTTCTGTATACTTAATTTTACCCCAGTGGTTTGTATACCTTCAAATATTTTCTTTTTCATGTCAGTGTTTGCTTCTTTCAGATTGAAGAACTCCCTTTAGCATTTCTTATAAGACAGTTCTGGTGGTGGTGAATTCTCTCAGCTTTTGTTTGCCTGTGAAAGACTTTTTTCTCCTTCATATTTAAAGGGTAGCTTTGCTGGTACACTGGTATTCTTGGGTGACAATTTTTTTCTTTCAACACTTTGAAAACATCCACCCACTCTCTTTTGGTGTATATGGTTTTCATTGAGAAGTCTGTTGCCAGATGAATTGGAATTCCTTTATATGTTATTTGCTTCCTTTCTCTTGCTACTTTAAGGATCCTCTCTTTGTCTATGACCTTTGAGAATTTGATTATTATATGCCTTGGAGTAATAGTATTTGGGTTGAATCTGCTTGGCGTCTCTCATCTTCTTGTAACTGGATATTTATGTTTTTCTCACATTTTGGAAAATTTTCTGTTATTATTTCTTTGAATAAGCTTTCTATCTCTTGCTCTTGCTCAGCTCCCTCCTGAACAGCAGTAATTTTTAGATTTGGTCTTTTGAGGTAATTTTTCTGTATCTTATAGGTGACCTTTGTTGTGTTTCATTTTTATTCACCTCCTTTATTTTTTTTATAGCCTGTTCTTGAGTTCACTGATTCCTCTGCTTAATTCATTCTGCTGTTGAGAGCTTCTAATGAAATTTTCAGTTCAGCAAATGTATTTTTAAGTTCTAAGATTTCTGTTTGATTTTTTAAATTATTATTTAAATCTCTTTGTTAGATTTCTCAGATAAATTTCTATATTGCTTTTATGTGCTATCTTGGAAATCACTAAGTTCTTAAAACTTCTATTTTGAATTCTTGGTCAGAGAGCTTACATATTGCTGTCTTATTAAGAGCAGTAACTCGTTTCTTACTGTGTCCATTTGAAGAGGTCATTGTTCCCTGTTTGCTTTTGTCTCTTGTGGATATATGCCTTTGCATTATATATATGTCCTTATATATGTCTTTGCATTGAAGGATTAGTTATTTATGCCAGCGTCCTCTGTCTAGCTTGTTTCGTTTTTTATTGGATGTGTTTGCTTAGAGATTCTTTGTAATTTACCTGTTGATTATCTTGCTTTTTTCCCCCCACTGGACCAGTGCCTCCATTTTGGCACTAGGTGGCACCTTAAGCCCTGGTTTGCCTCAGTCTGGTAAATAATGACAGTGTCGTCTGTCCCAAATGGGAGATGTCCCAAATGGGATATATCGGTAGTATAGGAAGGCTGGCTTGGGATTTGTGCCCAGGGAACCTGTGGAACAAACCTGCTCAATAGCCCTCTGATTTGGCATTTTCTTGGGCCAGGTTTCCAGGCCTGCAGATGGTAGTTCCACCTCTCCACTTTGTCCTTGGCTGCCCTCAGGGATATTTCTCCCTTCAGGCATTCTCAGTACTTCCCATAGGTTGGGGTAGGGACAGGATTCCCACCACGAAACTCAGGTAGCATGGAAAGCTGGTTGTCCACCTTGATTTCACTTTTTCCAGTGTAGAAACTGTGAGTTGATGGGAAATTTTCTGCGCTTAGTGCTGAGCAGATTGGGGAGAGGTGAGTCATGGTTATGGAAGTCCAATTCTCTTAACATCTGCTTGGAGTTTTTTCACTTCTCTCTGGCCCCAGGAACTGTCTCCTCTTCATATCTAAGTTCTTGGATGTTGCTGGTGATAATCTCCACGCTATACATTTGGTTTTGTGAGTAGGAGTTTTTGTGAGTGGGAGTGCATTCAGCTTGCTTCTACCCTGCCATTTTGGTACTGAAAGTCTCTCTTAGTTCTTAAAATAAATTTAAATAAGAAAAGTCCACTAGCCAAAATATTGTAAATAAATGACATATAAGGGCATGACTAGGATATGACAAAAATACTGATGCTGACATGCAAGTGATTAAGGGCTTGAAAGCCCTGCTGTTTGATATTTATTTGTTTTTTTCCCATTGTAAACAGGGCTGCAGTGACCACTTATATAGGTAAATCTATTTGCCCAAACTAATTCTCTTTAGTATAAAGTAATAGACCCAGAAATTCCGTAAAGCAAATGCATTTAGAGCTCTGTTTGTGTGTATTGTATGTGTGTGTGTGTATGTTGGTGTGTGTTCATGTGTTTTCATATAATCTCAAATCCAGAGATTACACTCTCACCAAGTAGTGAATGACAGTGCCTATTTCCCCTTAATTTTTCCTGACTCTGGGCTAATTTTCTTTTCTTCAGATGTGACATCTTCAGTTCTTACCTCTCAGTATTTTATAGGTTCATTTGGAAATATCTACTGTCTTTCCTTTTCAATAGTTATTCCTATACTAAAGACTGTAACAATTGTCCTTTATTTTATCATCATTTTTATTTTGGGATAGTTTGACAATAACGCCAATTTTCTTTTTCCCATAGCTTGCCCAGTTTCGACAAAGAAAGGCTCAATCTGATGGACAGAATTCTTCTAAGAAGCAGAAAAAAAAGAGAAAAACCTCAAACAGTAAACATGATGTATCAGAATACCATGGCTTGGATGTTGATCAATCACAGTGTGATGAGTTGTATGTAAATAGTTCTCAGAGAGTAGGATCATCCGTGACTCCGGAATCCACAACAATGAGAACTCCACATAGTAGAGAAATTGTCAAGCATGACCAGGTCTTCTCTGTCGAAGTAAGTATTCATCCAGATTTTTAAATATTACAGTTCTAAATGGAGAATAGCTGTCATGACAGCAATCATTGGCACCTTGTGCAATTTGATCATGATTTTTATATCCTTTTGAAAGCTTTAGTAATATGGTAACTAAACAATCATACCTAAATTATTTGATAACCTATGAGAGAGAGTTTTGTGAACTTAATTCAACAGACATTTATAGAGTAACTGCAGTATACCAAGGATTGAACACCAGGGATACAAAGGTAAGTATAACTGTCTCTCCCATTTAGAAAAATCAGTCTAGTGTAGAAGGCAGATGTAAAGATATGCAGTGTACTCTGATTAGAGCTATGCTAGCAACAGTGTACATGGCACTCTAGAGTGTAGAGAATGCCCAAATCAGCCTTGTGTATGTTATTTGGGAAGGTTTCCTGGAAGCGATAATAGAACTGAGTTTGAAGTATGAGTTGGAGTTAGCCAGAGGCAAAGAAGTGGGGGAAACAACCTCTGTGCAGAAGAAACAGCATTCATAAAGACATAATACAGTGTAGATAGTTCATTTTAAATGGATCACAAAGTGTTGGGGATGGGGTGGTAGTTATGGTGAGGGACTGGAGATCATACCTGGCACATGCTAGGTGCTCAGTGAATGTTAGTTTCCCCCACTTAGTGATGTAATTTTCCAGGATAAAGAGATGTGGGAGAAATTAAGGATGGATTGGGATGGTAAACCAGATGGTGAAGCCACTAACCAAGACCAGTAATAAATAAGGATGGGTTACTCATTAGGAAGAGTGTTGGATAGGGCAGATAATGATTATTATTTGTATTGTGTCATGGCATGTTTATGTGGAAACAGCAAGATTTTGATATACAGGGATTTGAGCTTTGTGCGGGAGGTCTGGGTTGGCAGTGGAGGTATGCTATTCATCATAAGAGTGGGAGAGATCCTCTCAGGTAAGACTAAGAATACAATGTGAAAAGAACAGAAGCCTAGAAATGTAAGTATATGTGCTATGCAGCAATTATTTATTCTTCAGATAAAGGCAAGGAGATATTCTAGATACTCTCATCATCTGTGGTAGTTGTGTTCTATAAAGTTGCCACAAATGCTAAAGTAATGAATACTGAATCATTGCTTCTAGGGATTATTGTAGTTTAGGATTAGGTTCCTGCAAGCCACTGATGACATTTTTATCAACCACCTGATACATAACCTTGTTTTATGTGTGTTTCTGTTTCAAGACATCTTTTTAAATGTATATTGTTGATTGGTTAATATTGAACCCATGGCCATCAGCACTACAGCTCATACCTGAATAAATCTTATCTAACACACATATTTGTTCCATAAAGTACCGTCCTGCTCTTAGGAACACTGGATAGCAGTTCACCATTATACTTTGGGGCCATTTTAAGCAGTAAAATCTTCAAAAAACATAAAAATGTGAAAAATGTGGCACTAAATAGATCGTAAAAAAGACACTAGTTTACATTATGAGAGCTGAAACAAGAAGTGTTGCCTTGTTCTACCTCCACTAAGAATGTGTGCATTGGGTGACAGATTTTTCACTGTTCTGCTCATGTCTATGAATGACCATGAATGTGCTGCTGCAAATATTGATTTTGTGGTTACAAATAAATTTTATTGAATAGTTGGATTCACAGTTAGAGAATCTGTAAATGAAGAGGATTAGCTGTTTCTTATATATGATTTGCAAATGTTATCTCTGGGGTTTTTTTTTCCACTTTCTTGTTAATGTCCTTTGATGCACAAAGTTTTTGATTTTGATAGATTCAACTATGTTTTTTCTTCAGTTGCTTGTGCTTTTGGTATCATATGTAAAACTACCATTGTCAAGTCTAAGATCATGAAGATTTACATCTAAGTTTTCTTTGAAGACTTTTAAAATTTTAGATCTTAAATTTTGGTCTTTGATCCATTTTTTAGTTAATTTTCATTGTGGCAGGGGGTAGGTGTCCAACTTCATTTTTTTGCGTGTGAATATCCATTTGTCTCAGCACTATTTGCTGAAAAGACTGTTCTTTCCCAATGAAATGTCAGTGACTATAAAGATGAGGGTTTATTTCTAGCCCCTCAGTTATATTTTGTAGATCTGTATTTTTAGCCTTTACTAGTATGCCCCAGTCTTGATTACTATAGCTTTGTAACAAGTTTTGAAATCAGTAAGTGTCAGTCTGTCAGTTTCGTTCTTTTTTAGGATTGTTTTGACTATTCTGGGTCCCTTGCATTTCCCTATCAATTTTAGGACCAGGTTTTCCATTTCTGCATAAAAGAAAGGAGGGATTTTGACAGGGATTGTGTTGAATCTGCAGGTGAATTTGGGGAGTATTGTCACCTTAACAATATTAAGTCTTCTCAATCTATGAACACAAGTTGTTTTTAATTTATTTAGGTCATCTTTAATTTCTTTCAGTGTTATCTTGTCGTTTTCAGTGTACCAATCTTGTACTTGTTTTGTTAAGTATATTCCTAAGCATTTTATTCCTCAGCGTTTTATTGCTTTTTGTTGCTATTGTAAATAGAATTGTTTTCTTAACTTCATTATCTGATTGTTCACTATTAGTGTATAGAAATACAACTGACGTTTGTATATTGATCTTATATCCTACACCTTTGCTGAACCCATTAGCTCTAGTAGTTTTTTTGTGAATTCCTTCGATTTTCTCTGTATACAAGATTATATCTGCAGCTAGAGATGTATAAGTATTTCCTTTCCAATGTTGATGTCTTATTTCTTTTTCTTGCCCAATTGCCATAGTGAGAACCTCAAGTACAATGTTGAAAAGAAGTGGTGAGAGCAGACATCCATATTGTTTCTTGTATTGGGTGGAAAGCATTCAGTTTTTCACCATTGAGTGTTACATTAGCTGGTTTGGTTTGGTTTGGTTTTTTGGTAGATCCCTTTATTATATTGAGGAAGTTCCCTTCTATTCCTGGACGATAGGGTGTTTTTCATTATGAAGAAGTGTTAAATGCCTTTTCTGTATCCATTGAGATGACTTTAAAACAAAACTATTACTAGGGACGAAAGATTTTAGAGAACTTACTTTGTATGAATTCAATTCTTTTAAATATTGAGGGTTTTTTAATGGTCTAACATACAGTTGTCTTTCTACTCAAACTAGATAATTTCAGTTGCTCTATCGAGGTTTGCTGATTCTCTCTTTTTCCTTCTTAGATCTGTTTTTCAATCCCTCTAGTGACTTTTTCATTTCAGTTATTACATTTTACTTTTCAACTCCAGAATTTCTCTTTGGTTCTTTTATAATTTCTTTCTATTGACTGACTGACTGACTGATTTGCTTTTGCTCTGTTGCTTGGGCTGGAGTGCAGTGGCACAATCATAGCTCACTGTGGTGTCAAACTCCTGGGCTCAAGTAATCTTCCCCCATCACTCTCCTGAGTACCTGGGACTACAGGCGCATGCCACCATGCCTAGACATTTTTTTTTTTTTTTTTTCTTTTTTAGAGGTGGGATCTTGCTTTGTTGCCCAGCTGGTCTTGAATGCCTGGACTCAAGGGATCCTTCTGCCTCAGCCTCCTAAGTAGCTGGGTTTATGGGTATAAACGACTGCAACCAGCCCTCTTTCCTTTTATTGATGTTCTCTATTTGATCAGGCATCATTCTTACAATTTTATTTAGTTTTTGAAATATTAACTTCTTTTAGTTATTTGATGATAATACTTAAAATAGTTCTTTGTCTATTAAGCCTAATATCTGTGTTTCCTTAGGGATGGTTTTTATTGATCACTATTTTTCTTGTGTGTAGGCCATACTTTCCTTTTTCATTTGTGTGTCTTATAATTTGTTTTTTAAAAACTGAACATTTAAAATAATACAATGTGGCAACTCTAGTGCTTGATTCAGTTTGAAGGTGTATTATCTTTTTCTGCATAACAAATCAATATTTGGGTTCCTTGTTATAGTTTTAGCATTTTGAATGCAACAATTGTCTTGTTCACCATTTAATTCTCAGTACCACAGTTTCTAGTATACATATGCACTAAATTAATGAATGTGGGGAGTTGTGTCATAAAAATATTTTATATTTAAAAGAGAGAAAATCTCATGAGTTAGAAACCACTGTTATAGCATTTTAGAGTAGGGGCAAACTTATTTCTGTTCCTGGCATCAGTTACTACTTCATGGAGAGGGTAGACTTAGAACTTGGTCTTGAATGTTTAATAAAATTTCCATAGGTGTGGATGAGAAGGGAAACGGTGACAGTTAATATTTGTTGACGAAAAGGTGAATCTCTCTGGGTCTTACTTTCTTCACCAATAAAGTGAGATTATTAGCTCAGATGAGCGGATGAATAGTGAAAGCAGTACTTTTGGAGTCAGACAATTTGGATTTCCTCCTTGACTCTTCCTATAACTTCTCAACTGAGAGAAGCTTAAAAAAGCTACTCACTTGATACCTAAATCCCAGGGATGTGGTCATGAAACAAGAATGTCTTTCAAAGTGTTTTTGTAAGCTGCAAAGGTGTTATAACAACAAAAGTTAATTTATTCATCAAGTTATTACTTTTTTTTTTCCATTTCAGCATATTATGGGGGTACAGATGTTTAGCTTACGTATGTTGCCCTTCCCCTCCCCCTTCCCCCCTAAGTCCGAGTTTCAAATATGTCCATCCTTCGGGTGGTGCACATTGCACTCTCTGTGTATGCATATACCTGTCCCCTCCGCCCTCTCCCCTCCCCAACATCCAATAGATGTTATTCTTATATGTGCACTTATGTGTTGATCAGTAAAATGTGGTATATGTATACCATGGAGTACTATTCAGCTTTAAGAAACAATGGTGATATAGCACCTCTTGTATACTCCTGGATGAAGCTGGAACGCATTCTACTAAGTGAGGTATCCCAAGAATGGAAAGACAAGCACCACATGTACTCACCATCAAATTGGTATTAACTTTTTTTTTTTTTTTTTGAGACCGAGTCTCACTCTGTTGCCTGGACTAGAGTGCCATGGCATTAGCTTAGCTCACAGCAACCTCAGACCCCTGGGCTCAAGCAATCCTCCTGCCTCAGCCTCCCAAGTAGCTGGGACTACAGGCATGCGCCACCATGCCCGGCTAATTTTTTCTATATATTTTTAGTTGTCCAGTTAATTTCTTTCTATTTTTTTTTTAGAAGAGACGGGGTCTCACTCTTGCTCAGGCTAGTCTCAAACTCCTGAGCTCAAACGATCCACCCACCTCGGCCCCCCAGAGTGAAGTTACTACTTTTTTAGCATCAAGATTTTTTGAGTCCTCTTTTGGAGAAATTGAACTTTTCCAATAGTAGCATTTTAGGACTTTCTTTTATTTAAAAGAGGTATACTAGTTTCCCCTTATCTGTGGGGGATACGTTCCAAGACCCCCAGTGGATGCCTGAATTCATAGATAGTACTGAACCCTATATATACTGTTTTTTCCTGTATGTACGTACTTATGGTAAAGTTTAATTTGTAAATTAGACCCAGTACTCTTGCTCTTTGGGGCCACTGTTACGTAGGGGTTGCTTGAACACAAGCACTGCGATGCTGCAACAGAGGATCTGGTAACCAAGACAGTGACTAAGTGACTGTTGGGCAGGTAGCATATGTAGACGTGCTGAACAAAGCGGTGATCCAAGTCCTGGGTAGGGTGGAGTGAGATTTCTTTGTGCTCCTCAGAATAACATGCGATTTAAAACATATATTGTTTATTTCTAGAATTTTCCATTCAGTATTTTTGTACTGCAGTTAACTGTGGGTAACAAATTGCAGGAAGCAAAACCATGGATAAAGCCTGGCTACTGTACTGATAGATATTAGGGAAATGGTTTCTTATTTGGTGCTTTTGGCTTACAAATGATATGTACCATATACGAGACCATATGTTAAAGTACCTCTTGGTACTTTTATATTCAGAAAAATGCCTAGTGGTAAATTAATTGCATTATTTTGCCATTGTGATTTATAATTAAATAAAATTTTTAAAGGTTTGAATAATTTTTACTCTTTTTCTAGTGATATTTTATGTGAGTTTTATATGTTACCAACAGTCATGGCTTAGTAAAGTACAATATTTAGTGGAAAAAAACCCAGTCATAACTGTAATTGGATTTTGCTTTTATTTTAGCCTGAAAGTGAAATTTCAACCACGGCAGATGACTACAGTTCGGAGGTAAGACTAAATTCTGTTATGATTTCAAATGTCATAAGTAAAAGTGATATTTTGTATTATTGAAATTATTGATTGTTATTTTATTTCTTATAACACATGCTTCTATTGTATTTCTATAAATGTAACATAATAAAATATATAAATGACTATAAAACCTGAGGATTATGTTTTACTGGTACATCTTTTTCCAAATTGTTAGCTAAGGTCTTAAATCTGTTAAAATAGCTTGGTTGTAAGATAGAGACCCTGTTTTAATGCCTAGGATACATGACCATTACAATGTACCTATGTTCAGCACAGTAAAAATTTCATAATATAGGGTATTTCATTTGAAGTAATGCTTTTTACAAAAGCTTGAATTCTAGTTAATCATATACACTTGTTTATTGAAATTAATGTTGCAATAGTGGATTTTATTTTAGGCGATAAAGGCTAATGTAGTCATTGGCCACTTCAGGAAATAACCTTCTTTATGTGTTGGTAATGAGTACATGTCATTTTATTTTTTTCTTATTCTTTTAGATGTAATTGTCATTTCTTTGGTCCAGATTTGAGAACATGGAAAAGTATTACTTATTCTGAATGGTTCAGCAACTCAGTGTATTCAATAAGTCTCAATTTATTGTAGGTTTCTAATAGGAAAAAAATAACTCCGTGTTCTTAATGAACATGTTACTATTTTAGATTGCTGATGGAAGCAAAAACTTTGACATGTCAGAAGTGAATGGAATATGCTTACTAATAATCTGGTCAGGAAAATAATTAACCAACATTAAGTTAATAAATTGGTGCCTGATTTAGGCTATGTAAAGTTGCTCCTAAGGGTGAAATATCTTGATTTAAAAATCACTGCTTCCAATTCAGATTCTGCTTTTGTGACTTTAAATTTGGGGCACATGCACTTGGCCCTTCATATCCATAGGTTCTGCATTCAAGGATTTGACCAACCATGGATCAAAAATATTCAAGAAAAAATAAAAAATAATAATACAACAATGAGAAATAATACGAATAAGAAAATACAATATAACAGCTATTTATATAACATTTACAGTATATTAGGTATTATAAGTAATTTAGAGATGATTTAAAGTAAATGGGAGGAGATACATAGATTAATATGGAAATACTACAACATTTTATATAAGGAACTTAAACATCCATAGATTTGCTATCCTTAGGGGGTCCTGGAACCAGTTCTCCTGCAGACACCAAGAGACAACTTTATGAAAAGTGTTTATGAAACATTTTTTTCTTTCTATAACGACCTAATACTTATAGCCTGTCTTTCTTGGTTGAAAGTCTCAGATGCTTTGGGGCTTGAACAAGGTGCATTTTTTCTTTACACTAAAGTGAAATTTTTTTATATGCCAGTTGACTTATCTTTCAGAACATCCCATACATGCCCAGGAAATTTGGTTAAAATTTATGTAGCCATTTTCTCAGATTGGGATAATAGGGCAAAATTTAATTTTATTAATGTTAATACTGAGTTGAAAAGCTAAAGACATCAAAAGGTGATGATTTTCAGGTTTTCTTTATGAAAATGTAAATTAATATTATTGGAAGTTCTTGTTACAGTGAGACATTGTTTACTTAAGTTTTTTTAATTAAAAAACTAGTGGAGATTATGAGGTCCAGAAAAATGTATTGAAATTGTCTATCTGTAGCACCTAGTAAATGTGATGTGTTTCAACATAGAATACAAATAGTACTTAAACATAAGCACTACAGATAAAATTTAGAATAGTATTTATTACAGTTGTTGACTGTAGTTCACAGTAATAAACATATTTTATATATATAGGTGTAATTTCATATATACATTTATAGTTACATATATGCATAGTTATATACATGAATAATTATATATGAATAAATATATGCATATATACATTTTTTTTCAAACAAGTTTCTGGAAGGATACTCTTAAAATATCACATATCCTGTGATACTTTATCTTTTTAATGCTGGTCAAAAAAACTAAACTGATTAACTGCCTTAGAGTTTGGGAAAAACAGTGACTTAGATTACAGTTAGATTGAAAAAAGGTAAATATGAAATAATTTTTGATAGATTTGACCTGGTTTGAGTTATAACCCTATAATATTATACATGTTACATCTGGATTCACAATGGATTATGCTTTGAGAAACTTACATATTCACTGTGTTTTAGAAAACAGAAGTGATAGGTTGTGAAATGTTTGAGATGTCTCATCAAGATTGCTGAGATGGATATTGGTTGCATCCATGATGCTCTGGACTAGTTTTGAGGCTTTGGCTACTCTATTAAATGTTTGAGTGGCTTGAATGAACTAGAATTACAGGGGACTTCAAAGCAATATTTGCCCATTTCAGAAAGCTGAAGAATCATCAACAGACCAAATTTATAACCTGAGGAATAAATCACACACTGTAATATTTTCCATATTGGAGCTCTTAAGGAATTATCTTTCAGTAACACCCCTAAAAAAATGTGATACCTTTCTGACAACATATGTATTATAACTTAACTACAAATGCCAGATTTGCAACATTTAATTATTTTGGTAGCTGTGGTTTGAATTTGAGTATTCTAAAATTTCAAAATCACAGTTTTAATCATAGGTCACATAATCATTTTGTATTTTGCCTAAATATCACTGTCATTTTTTCTGGTTAGTAGGGCAATAAGGTGATGAAAGGAAGAGCAGGGGAACTTTGGACCAGAAAGTCCTGTGTTCAAATTTAAACTTCATCACCTTTGATCTGTATGAGCTTGGGCACATGACTTAAACACTGAAATAGTTTCCTTACCTATAAAATGGGGTGGAGGGTAATAATATCTACCTCACAGGGTAGTTGTATACCTCACAAAGTAGTTGTCCAAAATAATTTTGAGAATATTTAGTACATGTTTGGCATATAATAGATATTCAGCAAAGCTTGATTCCTTTATTACTTTTCCCTAGTAATATGCTTTTTTTTTTCACACTGTTTATATGAAACAGTGAGTGATGAAGATCCCTTTAACAGATTGTTCTCAGAAGAATTTCAGATTGTGGTAATACATTTAATTAGAACTTAGTTTGGAAATTATATGTAATAGGTAGGTATGGCATGTGTTTAATGTTTATGAATTCTGTGGCCGGTGTACTCAATGGATTGAAAAATGGGTTCAATCCTAGAAAGAATTAGTCAAATAATTTTATTTCCACATCTCTTCTGTTTAAACACATATCCAATTACATGCACTAAAGAAGTCAAGCTAAATAAAAAAATACTCTTCTTACAAATTAATTTATATATAATCATCTTCAATCCGTGATGAAAGGACATTTTATGTCCAGAACACCATATTTACACAAATTATTTTTTATACTCTTTGAGGAGAGTTATTTGGAAGACATTGGGAATACTACAGGCAATGCAGAGATAAGACGGGCAAATAAATATGCTTTGCTATGTATAGAAAGATGAAATGATAGTAGAGTATGCACTCCCATTATAGATTTCATCTGATTATTCAGTACTTCTTAACCAGGTTGCTTGTATGGTTCATGACATTTGTGAAGTGGCTGGAGTTGGAGACATGCCTATATACTTTATATATAAAGTAACAAACCTAGCTTTTCAACTTTGAGTGAATGATCTTAATCATTAGTTACTTGACTCCAGCTCCATGCATCAGGTAGGCACATTGAACTCTTATAATTTTCGTGATCTTCTCTGAACTATCAGATTCTTATTTTTTGTAGAAATATCCATTATTAATGTCTGTTAATGTATTCCCAGATTAAGAGTAAGATATTAATAAATTGTGAATTATTCTTTCATGTTTTAAAACTAATGTCCACTAAAAGGGTGAGTTTTTGTGTGAATACAGCATTCTTCCCTTACCCTTGGGAATACAGGGAATACATTCTAAGACCCCCAGTGGATGCTTGAAACCATAGGTATTACCAAACCCCATATATACTAGAGATTAAAGACACACACAAATACATTTAGCAGAAATATTGTTAGCTAAATAAAATTCTAAGATTATAATATATCAGGAAATTGTTTTTATACAGGTAAACGGTTGCAGATTTGTGGTGAGAACAGGAAAGCCTACAAATTTATTAAGGGTACAGTATTTAAAACTACTCATGATACTAATGTTTTATACTATTTAAAATTATCTTGCTTACTAACAAAGCTTTTTTCTGCATGTACTTCTTTCTGTGTGATTTCAAACTGATTTTAATGTTTAACGAAAGAAACTTATTACCCTTTATTATAAAACTCAAGTGTAACAGAATTTGTGAATATCCTGTTTTTGCCCTTGAGGTGTATATCATATTAACAACAAAGTAGGTTGCCATACCAGTAAACTTCCAGGTGATGAGTGATGTTTTAACTTTGCTGTGGTATTCAATATTTGAATAGAATCCTTCTCCCTAAGGAGTGTTGCTAGTACTGAATTATTAAAAGTCTTGAATTGATTAGGAAGAAGAATTTGGTGTTGATGATTCTTATTCTGGACAAGGAGCACAGTATAGTCAGACCCACCTAGAGATGATGGAAAATGAATTAGCTGGGAAACAGCATGAGATTGAAGAGCTAAACAGAGAACTGGAAGAAATGAGAGCCACCTATGGGACTGAAGGACTGCAACAGGTGTGCTTACTTTCTGTGGCCTTTGGTTTGCTACTCACAAAAACAAAAATAGTAAATTTGAATGATAGCATATGCACTCTCTTTAAAGATGGGGTTTTTAAATGGTAACTTAGCTGTGTGCAGTGGTGCACCTATAATCTCAGCTACTCGGGAGGCTGAGGTGGGAGGATTGCCTGAGCCCAGGAGTTCGAATCCAGCCTGGGCAATAAAGCAAGACCCCATCTCAAAAACAAAACAGAACGAAATGGCAACTTAAGATAATCTCATAATTTTTGTCCTTGTACATAACATAAACAACCCTCTTTAAAACTAGGATTTCATTAACAAGGTTAATATAATACAGATTCTCATTTAACTTTAGATAAGATAGCTAGTCCAAAAGTACTTCCAGAGGACAGATATTTTTATAATCATCCAGGGAGAAAATTATGGTACAAACCACATCAAAATATTATGACTTAAACCCACTAAGAATGTCA